CACAAAGGTATCAAAGTTGAGCCCAGCGTTGACGCATGAACTTTTAAGGAAACGGAATAAATTCGACCTCTCTACTGCACAAAAGTTACTATGATGTCTTCCTCGTGTCATCATATATCTCCCACTCAAATTTTATGCTGATAGGAGATAAGTTTTCGCAAACGCTGAGATCGGCTAGCTACGACGGAGGCCATTACAAGCGTCCCCTACTCCTCGCTAAGCCTTTTTGGACGAGCTTTTACTGACGCCCAAGATCTGTGCCTGAACGTTGTGTCTGAAATTATCTGGACGTACTCAGGCAGGAAGAAAGCAAACAGATAACAAATATTATGGCCATTAGCAACCGTCAAACGCGCTTTGAATAATTTCGTTTGTTTGGCGCACCGCATAGGGGTTCATGCCCGTCCGGCGCACTCCCGGCGAACGATGCGACATTCTTCACACAAGTGCTCGACTTTTGCCTTCTAAAAACGGTCTGTATGTGCGAATGTGCCTATATGAATGCAGGATAACTTTATGCGCATACGCGATGTTGAATATTAGTGGAATGCAAGCGGGTGGGAACTTCACTTCGCGCAGTGCTGCGGGTCTGTTCAGATAAGAGATAAGAAGTGTGCTAAAATTTAGCTTTTCATTGGCGCCTCCCAGTTTTACCTCGCATACTCAGGCATATTAAGAAAAACAGTAATAGCAAAAAGTAATATTTCGTGTATGGACGCACGAAACAAACTTCCTGATCAACAACACTAATGTAAAGACGCGAGCTCGATGTATGCATACTTATTGGTTGCTACAGCTTGTTGATTCGTACACAAGCAAGATCCCCGAGCTTCGCAGTGTCGAGATTCCCAGCACTGGCTCGTCCACATACCTCGATTGTAACGCGAACAGAAAGGCTCAAGCACAAAAATACAGCAAGCATGAGTTCAGACAAGCTATACGTCTCGGGCTTGTCTAAAGCTTCGAGGTTTGTCCATTTAGGTTAGTTTAGAGACCACAAATGACGCTCTCGGGACCAGAAAACATGAGATAACGGCCGTTAATAGCCCACGCTCTGTGTATAATCTCTTGTCGACGTGTCGATCGAAACCGAAACCATGCCACCCTCCTCCCTGGCTGGCCAACTAGTTCCCAGAGTGCAACGCGCGCCGTGTTGCATGCAGGGCTTTATGGAAGTAGTCTATTGCAACCCCCACGTCTTCGGCATTCGCCTTTTTCGCCATGTAGGGATCAGGGGTTGCTCAAACACCACCTTTGCGCTTCAGTTTTCATGTTTGATCAATCATGTAGGCAGTCGCACCCGACACCAGACACAATATTGTTTTCTTCAGGATGATTGGTGGCAGAAGCACGTACAATCGCTTGCGTTCCTGGTGGGAACTACATGCCTTCAGCACTTCGCAAAACGCGTCAAACCACTCTGCGCAGTGCTCACAACTGTCTTCGAGTTCGAGAGTTTCGTGCGGTGAAGCAAGCAAAGTGGACCACCGTAAAACCTGTCAAAGGAATCCAGGAAACTCATCTGTGAAAGTCATCATATGCCGAGAGGCCAGATGTATACATGGCCATTCGCGCAACTGAGAGTTTTAAGCTTATGTATGATGCATAGGTAGCGAATTTGCAGAGTGGGGCCGTTTTATTCCTGTGAATTGTAAGCTAATTAATGGCATCCCAGCTCAAAGCTCCTTTTCACGTCACTAATACTCACCGCGTATAAAAAAAGAATTTTAATAATATAAAATACATGCCATAACTAACGCCCAAACGTTTGGTGCTGTGCAGCAAAGCCGCTATGACGAAGACGTCGGCTCGCTCCGAGTGAAGGTTTGTCGTAGCTTTTCCCGCTTGGAGGTCATATGTTACTCAATCTTTTGCCATCACAGGTTAGTTCAAGTCACTGCAAAGTGCCAAGGGGAGTTTAAAGAAAATAAAAGATGGAGTTTTTTAAATATCGACGCCCAATCTTGCCACATTTTGAGAAATCAGTCGAATTTCCGCGTTGATAACAAAAATATGTTTAAGGGTGGGCATATTATCTTTATATATTCGTAAAGAATATGTAAATACGCGCATTTTGATATGTTTTGTGAAGTACTATGAAAGATGGTTTATTTGCAAAAAAATTGTGAATATGTCTCTAAAACGCGTTTTTGTGCCATGTTTGATATTTTTGTTTGCATTGAAATATTTTATGGATATTTTTAATTTTTTATGTATGTGTTGTATAACCTTTGTAAAACCTATTAAAAAAGTTATGGTGCCGTGAAAGGTTCGATAAGGAAAGGACGACTGTGCAAAGTAGCATTGTGAAATCTTCTCAATTTCCACGCCTCAAGCTTCTCTATTTTATTTCTCAGCGAAAAAAAATTCTTACGGCGTTCATATCTAGCTGAATGTTCCTCCCAAGAACATGGCTTTCATATATATTTTTAACAAAAATATCTAAAATATGACCCGGACCATCATTGCATGAACTGACGTGGAATCACCCTGGAAACTCTGATGCTATATGCCAAGGGCGGCCAGGCTGACCCGGTCTAAGAGCCGCAAGCACGAAACTTTCAAGAGCCGCCGGGGGGAGGGAGAGGGGGGGCAGCAAACTTTTGTCCAGAGCGATAAACGAAACTCGAACTACTTTCAATCTATCCGAGTCAAAAGCAGGCCAACTGTACGTAAGGTAGCTGTAACACAAGACAACCAAACCGTAAACTGTCTGTCGATTTAAAACGCCTTCCATTTCTCTTTTTGGGGAAGTGTTTGCGTGATCTGGTGGGAGGCGCGGGGGGGGGGGCGGGGGGGGGGGGGGGGGAGGGGTAGTGGGGGAGGAAACCGCGAGCCGCACTTTAACCCGCGAAGAGCCGCATCCGGCTCGAGAGCCGCAGCTTGGCCACCCCTGCTATATGCCTTCAGCAAATGTTTTTCCCAGCACCAAGACAAAAAAAAAAAAAAAAAAAAAAATACTGAATATATTTTATAGTTTTACAAATGCGGAAATACAAAATTGTGAAGGCTGATATCTGAACTCCACGAATTACAAAATGTGTGCGCAGGAAAACTAGCAAAATGCAACTTCAGTTTTACCTCTAAATTCACTGTATGAGAAATGCAATTTATGTTTTATTTCCTTTCAATTTCAGGTTTTTCCTAGAACCATGCCTCGTCTGTCCGCACATATCCGTCATCATTTCTTTTTGGGTAGTGCTTTCATTTTCGACACACTCAATAGTTTTCTGAAAGCTGATTTCCAATAGCCTCGACAGTCGAACAAAAGCAAACTATTGATAGTTCTATCGATTGCACTACCTATATATCAATAATACTATCAATGGCACTATCAAAAATCAGCTATCGATAGTGCTATCGATAGCCCACTATTGATGGCTTTGTAAAAACTATCAATTTTTCTATAGTTTTGCATCACTGAAAGGTGCTCATGCGATTGACGGTACTAACTGCCCATGATAAATATTTCAAACAAGCATTGCTTCAATAAACATTAGTACCTTGAAATAGCCGTCGGGAAGCATAAACACTTCAGCCGCCGTTCCTCTTCCTATCAATCTACAAATTCCTATCTTTCACTGTTATAAAAACACATCACCTCCCCTATCTAAGAACCACAAGAATATGGTACAAACTAGAAACTATAAAAAGTGCTTTCGTCATTTATTACATTGGCTCACTGTACTGAACAAACCCTCACGAGATAAACGGGAAACTCTTTTGACAATAATCCTAGACTAAAAGAGAAAACAAAACAAAAAGACTGATGCGACTTCCTCTCAAGACTATACTAACCCTGTGGTCAGACAAACCTTACTCATAAAATACAGACATCTTTGCTTTTTATTTTGCGACTGTGACCTCAAAATTCAGTTATTAGAATAAATCCGAACCGACGAAAATTCGATTGGCGAACGATTATCAAAGTTTTCTGGTTTTATCTGAAAACACAGAATCCCAGTTATAACATTCTGATTTGTAAAGCTAGATTTTGTCTTCTTATCTATGCCATTGAGCCAACTTCACTTAACACAGATTCTGTTAAAACATCCATTCGGATATAATAGACTATATCGGGGAGTTTGCAAGTAGTTCACCATTCCATTATAGAAGACATTTCGACAGCACTCATTTCTTAAGACATTATGCAGCTTTGGGTTGGTAGTGGTGGCATCCATTTTGTGAAACGCTGTCATCGCGCTTGGCGCCTTGTGAGTCTTGTATAACCTTAAGCGTGTAATGATGATCGTTAGTACAGCATCATAAAAAATCACTACCTCTCAAAGTTCAGATGTTTCAATAACCCAGTTCTTTCCACTATCCATTCACATTTTGTCAGTCTCACTGGTTAGAATACACTTCAATCATAATCAGAACTCCATGTTTTTGGAGATTATTTCTCGTGGAATTCGGAGGGTGCTTTTTGGAATACTGTCGAAACCGGTTACAACGAAGTGGACGGGAATTTGAAATCACTTCGCTATATCCGCTTCTTTGTTATAACTGGACTCTACAAAATTAACACGCCACAAAAAAGAGAAAAAAAGATAACACGGGTTGTCACGGGCACATGCTTATCGTGCCTGCAGAAAGCGGTCGAGGCTTCCCTGCATGTGCTCTCTGCTAGATCGGAGCTGCCTCTTGGCGACTGCGAGAAGCTTCGAAAAAAGAACACCGAACAGACCTTCACCTAGCCAAAGGTTAATGTGCAAAGCATGCCCCGAGAGCGAGGTCAAACGGGGTCAAGATCGAGCCCGATGGTCCAACGTCTGTCATAGTATGTTGCACCAGGCACAACCTGTCCCAGTTTAGAAGATTTAATAGTGAGGGCGGATGTTTTTATGCTAAATGCCGGGCCACGAGCTACCAGCCAATGTAAAGTGTGCAGCCACTACAATTCGTCCATGTATCAGAAAGACAAAGACAGCTGTATTCACAGAACAAGTTGCCCTCATGAATAGACAGATAAGAACTAATGTCGCCGGGAGTCAACTCACCCTCCGCTGTGCCTTAAGGCGCTTCAACGACTCGGTGTACGGGGGCACGGCATCTTTCTTCTCGAAGCCAGGGGTGAGAACACTTCCCCGCAACAGCTGGAAAAGGCAAGCCACAGCTTTGACAGAGCATTCTCTCACACAGCAGCCATCACCCAGTATGACATTTTGTGTGAGTAAAAAAAAAAAACGATCCTGCCAGTTATGCGAGTTCAATAGTGTTTCGGCAAGGTTACAACTTCTCAAGCAGCCCGAAATCAAGCTTCAACATGAAACTGTTATTGTATGATAGAATAAAAAGAAAATCTGTCAAATCTACTGCCAAAGTGCACAGCAGGCTAGCCAGCTAGAGAACCTTGTTTGCAGCTCAGGGCCTCTTAAGATACTCCAATTATAATATTCTTTGCTTAAGGAACCAATATCAAATGGTTGGTACACTTTGTCGTTTGAGTGGTGTTTCTTCGACAATTCGTTAGGGTGTTGCAATCAAAAAACAAAATTAGGCATCAACATGCGAGCATGTGCCCTAGTCTGGGATATTCAAAACAAAATACAAACACAAGGTACACGTTTTGTTTCACAGATGTCGCTTCGTCTCGGGTAACAGAAGCAAACCTTCGCAACCTTACCAAGATTCTTTTTTTTCACCCAGATACAAAAAAAAACACAAAAAAAACTGTAGTTCAAAATACAGAAAGAAAGGACCACCCGGAGCATTTGCCACGTTTCTAGCTAGGAAGTTCATTGAAGCGCTCATTATACACTGGAACGCTCATTATACTTCTTTGCATAGACATTAATGGATAACACCGCTCACAAGCTGTCTCAGACCACCTAAAAGACTTTTTATGCGGAAGAGCCTCTGGAAACCAAAGTAATTTTATTAAAACTTTCATTTGTGTCTCGTCTGCTCGTCTTTTAACGGCACGTATGAAGGCTGGTCCACACGTTTGCAATTACTTACGACAGAGTGTGCCACAAATGTTTTTTAAACCTCTGTGTGTGAACCAGCCATCACCAACCAGCTCAAGCCTCCATCTTCACAAGGTTAATTTACAGTATGGGTGCAGTCAGAAAAATTGTATAAAGAATGCTATGCAAAAAAAAACATTTGCATTAATTTAATTCAGCCTTGGAAGCACAAAAACCATGCATCTGCTGCTTGCTCTCTTTCCAAGAGGAGAGAGGGGGACGAGTTGACCATAGTGACGCAGCACGCGGTTGTAACGTCCATACTTCGAGCGCTGTGACAATGGTCCGAGATTTGGAAATCCAATATAAAGCACCGCAAATTGAGTTGCACCCCCGGTCATCCGTGTCAATGCCATAATGTCTTGTCCTAAAGAACTCTGGAGCCCTCGGGAAAACTGTGTTGGCGGTTGTCAACACACATTTTTCTTTCTCTGGAAATGAGAATGCCAATGTGCAGAGCATTTTATTTGTGGAGTTTCTGAAGCAAAAAAGTGGCCAGCACCATATTATAAAATTCTTTGTTGAAAACACTATTAGCCCTCCCTTCAGGCGCATTACAGGGAGGGTTTAGGTTACAAATACCATAGAATACAGTGCATCCGTCCATTCCACACTAGGCGCCCATTCCCAAAGTTGTAAGATCTGAGAAAATATGTGCAATACATTGATATTTAAAACTGACGACTGGACAAGCGCCCATTCCCCATTTTTATCGCGATTCCATTTTGAGTGGGTGCTTGGCCTGCATTTTACGGTATACACGCGACAAGGCAGGGGAACACAGGTGCAAAATATATTTACACGAGGTATAAATTCGGGGTCCCATTAGATAACAGCGGGGTGATAAAAAGTTCGAAGGGTGATACAGTATCTATACTATAATCAATTTTTCATTTAGCAGTTGGTTCAGAGCCTCTAACATTCTTACAAAACATTATTGCTTCAGTGTCAATTTGGCTATCGAATGCTTAGATTATTTCGGAATGATTTAGTCTGTCCACCCTTTTTGTACTTAAGGGGCATATATAAGGATTGCGACTCGAATCAAGCTTGCAGTTTAAAGGGCAGTCAGGGGTGGAAGCAAGCTTCAGCCTTTTGGAGCAAGTTTGGGAGCAGCAAAGATGCCCCTTTGGAGCAGCTTTGGAGCAGCTCACAAGCAACAAAAGTCAAGTTTCGTAGCAGTATAAGCAAATCTTGGAGCCGGTAACCCGAGTCGAACTCGGTGCTATAAGCACATGTGTTTTTCTAAATACAAAGAGAAATATAAATAAAAAAGCATCTCCATGTGACGTTCCAGAACCATTTCCAAACATGACCTTTCCTTAAATATATTCCAGCCCACAGCAAAAAATATTTTAACGGCTGCCATTGAGAACTGTCCTGGTGGTAGCGGGTTGGTTCCTCTCATGGATTTACGATAGTAGGCATAGGCCACAAACAACTTAAGCCTCATGAAAACAAAACATTGTAACTACTTAACAATGCCTAAATCGCACATTCCACAAGTTAAAGTATTCCAGTACTCAACAGAGCACAAATCAAAAGTTTTCTGATACTCAAAAGAGTACTTATTTGATAAAAGTACAATAATGAAAAATATTGAAAACTTCATACGACCTATACCATTCCTGCTCATACATATGCACTTAATTAATCTTTACTAAAACGGGCATGTCTGACGAAAAAGAAAAAAAGCTTGTTGAAGAGTTTAATAATAAAAAAAAAAGTGACTGACAAAACTAGCAAGTAAGACCATAAAACGGAAGTTTTTCCTCAAGCCACTATGAACCACTGATCTCTATGTCGATTTGCTGAATCGCGTTTGACCAGCTCCGCCTATAGACTGGAATGCGGCCATAGTCGACCATCTTTTTGGTAGAGTTATATCATCTCTAGCCATCATGGTGTGGCGACAGCCACTGAGAAAAGAAGATTGCGTGCAAATAAAAAAAGAGAAGAGTTCGATTTTGGAATGCGTCAGACGTAGTCGCTTTTCGTCTGTCTTTCTCTACATTGGTGACCCGGATGTCCCAGCATGGAACGTCCAGACGTTCCCCGAGCTGATGCTGGGCTTCCTGCAACCTCCGCTGCGACCGTTGGCACCTACGCTGTTCGCCTGCCTCCATTCGGGGCACAGCACCCAGAAGTCTGGTTTCTTCAAGTCGAGGGAAGCTTCCGACTGGCCAACATAATATCCCAAGAGGTACGGTTCAGCCATGTCCAGGCTTCGCTGCCGTGCGAAGTGGCGCTGGAGGTCTACGACATCCTCGCACGACCACCTGCGACGAACCCGTACGATGCGCTCAAGACTGCCATTTTAGAACGCACAATGCTTTCGGAATGCAAACGCCTGCAGCAGTTAGTCTCAGCAGAAGAACTGGGCGACCGTCGCCCATCGCAACTTCTGCGCCAGATGCAGGCGCTTCTCGGCGACCGTGCCACGACGTTCGACAGCCAGTTCTTGAAAGAGCTGTTCTTGCAGCGACTCCCACCGTCGGTGCAAATGATCCTGGCGACTGCATCCGACTTGTCCTTGCCTGCCTTGGCTCTCCACGCCGATAAGATCATGGAGGTTGCAAGCCAACACCCGTCAACATCTACCGTCTCATCAGTACAGCGCCCCGAGCCCGCCACTCCAGCGACTCGCGCACCCATAGCGGCCGCGGTTACTCGGGATGAAATCGCAGCACTGCGAGAAGACGTGCAACAACTACAGGAGCTTGTCACAAGCACATTGCGCCTTTCACGACCTCGCAGCCCTAGGCGATCCTCACAGACCAGAAGCTCCCGCCGTCGTTCTCCCTCGCCACAGGCGAACCACCAGCCAAGGCATAACCAACAGCGGCAAGAGCAACAGCACTGCTGGTATCACCAGCGCTTTGGAGCTGCTGCAGAACGCTGCACCATGCCTTGCAGCTGGTCGGAAAACAAGACACGGGATCGCTAGTGGCGACGAGCGCTCCCCCAAATAAGCAAGGTCGCCTGTTCTACATTACGGACGCTACCAGTGGACTGAAGTTCCTGGTCGACACAGGAGCCGAAGTGAGTGTGCTACCCGCAAATTCTTTTGACTGTACACTTACTCCTATCTGCCACCTGCAAGCGGTCAACAGCTCCAACATCCCCGTCTACAGGAAGAGGTCAATCTCGATCAACCTTAGCTTGCGAAGGACATTTCGTTGGATCTTTCTTGTAGCCAAGGTCAGTCACGCTATTCTAGGAGCGGATTTCTTGTCCCACTTCTCTCTCCTAGTAGACATGGCACAAAAGAAAATTCATGACTCAACCATGGGCCTTTTCATCACCGGCCAAACCTCCACACTCCAGCCGTTTGCTTTCACACTTCGCCAACCAATACAGTCGCCCTACGGGGACTTGCTGAGCGAATTCCCATCGTTAACGGCAGCTCCCGACTGGAACAAACCGGTCAGGCATGATGTCGTCCACCGCATCATCACCAGCGGTCAACCTACACACGCGAGGTCTCGTCGGCTAGGTCCCGAAAAGCTTCGCGTCGCTCAGCAAGAGTTCCAACACATGGTGGAGATCGGCACTGCTCGCCCATCCTCGAGTAGTTGGTCCTCTGCACACCACCTAGTCCTGAAGAAAACAGGCGACTGGCGGCCCTGCAGCGACTATCGCAGCTTGAACGTGACTACAGTCCCCGACCGTTACCCCATCCCCAACATTCAGGACTTCACCACCAACCTGAACGGATGTACCATATTCTCGAAACTCGACCTACAGAAAGCGTACCATCAGATCCCGGTCGCTCCCGAAGACGTAAAGAAAACCGCAATCGTCACACCGTTTGGACTTTTCGAGTTCACCCGGATGCCTTTCGGTTTGCGAAATGCCGCGCAAAGCTTCCAACGCTTCATCGACGCCATTCTCCGCGGACTACACCTTTCGTTTTCGCCTACGTCGACGACGTTCTTGTCGCCAGCTCGTCGCCGGAGGAACATCTACGCCACCTGCGCCTAGTATTCGAGCGTTTCGTTAAACATGGCCTGATCATCAACGCAGAAAAATGTGCGTTCGGCGTCCCGTCCTTGGAATTCCTGGGCCACGTGGTAGACTCCAATGGCATCCGACCTCTTCCCGACAAGGTGAAAGCGATCACCGAT